AACGTTATAGTAAAGTTTTAATATAAAGCTCCTTATATTAAAATAGTTACTCATGGGTAAGGGGTCTTAAATTACCTGAATAAGGGGAAGAATGTCATCACAGAATGAAAGCTGCTGAAAGTTGTCTTCTGCTTATTTTCACAGACGTGCCTCACCTTTCACTACATATCTGAGAAATTTGAGCCTGTTTTGGGAAAGCCTCTTAAAGAATAAAATTGTTGAAGGAAGAAAAGGAGCCCCAATAATCATGAGAATAGCAAGAAAAATTGCTACAAACAAGTTGCACCTGTTTAAATCCTAGGCTTCCACTTGTTTTCACAGCCTGGGAGTAGCATTCCTCAGCGACTTTCAGGGCTCCATAAAATTGGGCATCTTTGCAAGATAAACTTGCTCTAGTTAAGATCAGCCCTTTCTGTTCTTTTAAGAGCCAAAATTCAAGATACGAATTTTTCTGCCAAAAATATAATTGTCTATTAAATTATCTATGTAGAAGAATGACAGTAAACGTTTGGGTAGTGCAAACTGTGGGACTTTAACAAGCTTTTACTGAAGACAGAATACATCGTTACTTTCTGCAAGCACAAGGGAAACCCAATACCTTTGATTTATACCAAAGGAAGAAGTCACAAAGAAGCTCAAAAAAAAAAAAAAAAACTAGCAGGGTATAAAAATGGTAATAAAGCTCCTCCCCTCACATTAGTGCTTCCACTCCCTCCACATAACAGTGTATGATTAATACTTAAAGGTGGTTGTACCTCTGAGAACTGGAAGAAAAGATTATATAAAAATAGTTCACTCCTATATTCTTAGAGTAAATCAGTATCAAAGAAGTGGATACACTGGTATATGTACTCAGTAGTAAATTTATAAACAAGCATTTATTTTTCCTCTAAATGTAGAAAGTCAATTGAGCATAACAACCCTATTGAAATTGTTTCTTCCAATTCACAAATATTATTATTCACATATATCATTTAATCATCCCATCAATGTTTATCAGGCCTTCTCACATCACATGTATAAAACAGAATAGCACTGTCTTATTATTCCTGTTCAAATAAACATATCACTAACTAGTAAGGAAAGACGGCCACGGAAAGAAGCAGCTACCTTGCTATTGAGTCTAGAATTAAAAGTCTAGAATGGAATCAACTTAACAAAAATTGACAGAAAGCCCCCTGAAGGTAACTACAAAATGAGACCCGTCCTCTGGCTTTTTAGAGGTATGAAAAAATTATCCATAAATTTCTCAAGGGAGATCATAAGTTAACTGAATACAAAGTGCCATGAAGATTGAAGTAGGGAAAGATACCTGGTTGTAGGGGACTCCAGATGCTTTGTGAAGGAGATGGAGCTGGATCTTCAAAATATGTGGTGTGTGAGATTGTAAAGAAGGGATTCTACTTAGCAAGGACAGCCGAAGCAAGGTCCTGGGGTCAGGGAGAGACACTCTCTGCCTCTTTCCCTTATTCCTACCTCAACACAAAACAAACGCACAACACCGTTACTTCACAAGCCCTTTCCATGGAGATGTCTTATCACTGTGATGAATGCTCATGTACAAAAAAATCTTTTATACATTCAGGCAATTATTCTGTAGGATGGAATGCTGGAAGTGGTTTTGCTGACTTATAAAGATTATGAACATGTCATTTTAATAGATATTACAAATTATTTTTCTAAAGACTTGTACCAATGTACTCTCTTTCTCTCTAATAGTATAGCAAAGGCCCTTTTACTCATACTATTTCCATCACCGGATATTATGTGTCTTATTAATTTTTGCCCATATGATGTTTTTTACTTGCTTTTTCTTCTTCATTAGTAAGGTCAAGGATCTATTTACGTGTTAAATGGCTATGTGAAATCCATATGTTGTCTTTTCATGGTCTTTTTATATGCTTTGCCATTTTATGTGTCAATACTTATAGGCAAGTTTCTTTTGCTGATTGATTTGCAGAAGGTATTGGTTCACTAGTGTTACTTTTCATTTTATGTGCTACACTTATCTGTCCTCCTCAAACTCCTCCTCTATCCCCCACCCAATTGCCCTCACAACTTCTGCCTTTTAAGATATTTTTTACCTTTCATAAGATTTTAAGTAATCAAATCTGTTGATATTTTAATTTAAGCCTTCTAGGTTTTAGGTATTTTCTTAAGATGTTTTCCCACTCTAAGATTATAAACTTATCCTTCTGTATTTTCTTCCAAATCTTTAATATTTTCTTTTTTACATAGAAAACTGCAATTATATGAAGTTTGTTTTTATATGGTGAGAATTAAGGCTCCAACTTAATTTTCTTACAAATAGATAGTTGCTTCTGTACCACTGAGTGGAAAAACCATCTTTTCTCTATTGGTTTCAAATGCCACATTTATCCTATATTATTAATATCGTACTATTTTTTTAAATTACCAACTTACCCACACTTCTCTCTCTTCTAGATTACAAAAATTTTACGGACTTAAGGAAATTCAGGGTTCCAATTCGAATAAAAAGTCCGTATCTCCACTAATGGAAACCAAAGTCAGCAACCTGAAAACATATTCAGGGCTTCCCATGTGTTTTGCAATCTGCTTCTGTCACCAGCTTTACTATACCCTCCTCAACAGTGTACTCTACGTGGCACATGGCAGGACACTAAGCAAGTATTTGTTGAATGAGATAATGTGCAACAGTGAGTTCAGCTTACTCAGATAAAAGTATATAATTTAAGAGTCATCATGTAATCAGCATCAAGTTTTAGCTTATTCATGATAATTCTGAGAAAGGGCAAATGATAGTTTGTATTATTGAAGGAATTCAACAACTTCACTCTGCTACTAAAATAGCCTATCTCCCAGAAAACAGTATTACAGTGCAGTTGATGGGCCCTTCACCGTGCTGGCCACTCCACTCTTCCACTCTCCAAGACAGCTATTATGTACCTTATACTCTCTCCCCAAATCTCCAGAAGCCCTCCCCACCGGAAGAAAACTTTCCCATCTTCCCACCACATTCCCATGCACCTGCCTTCCCTCCTGTTAGAATAAATGCTCTTGATTAGGAAAATCCTCCCCCTCTCACAGCTTACTTACTCAAGAACTTTTTATCACCTCTCTTTTCTGTGCCATTCCTCTCTTCTAAATCGTTCTCATCATCATACAAACTAAAAATACCTTCATCTTAAAAAAAAAAAAACAAAAAAAAAAATCCTTGTTGGCCCACATTCCTCTTCATCTACCACCACATTTCCCATTCCCCTCTATAGCAAAATTCCTTGAAAAAGTGCCTGTAGTAACTGTGGTGTTTTGCTCTCCACTTTTCTTCTTCTTGTACATATTCCAAGTTTTACTCCCCACCACCCCGCTAAATTTATGATTAGGGTCATCACTAACATCCACATTGCCAAAAATTACAGTCAGTTCTCAATGCTCAGCTTACAACCTCTGTCAGCAACACGTGACACAATTGATTACTCTGTCCTTAAAATAATTTCTTTACTTGACTTCAAGGACACCCAGTTCTCATGGTTTCTTCACATCTTACTGGCTGTTCCTTCTCAGTCCTCTTTGGTAGATTCTCCCCATCTCTCTGATTTCTACATGTAGGAGTGGCCCAGGCCTTAGTCCTTGAAACTCGAGGTAGTTTCATCTAGCTGACACCTTAAATATCTTAGAGACTCCTAAATTTTTGTTCACCATACACAATCTTAGCCCTAAACTTAAAACTCTTATACAACTATACACTCAACATTTTCACTTGGAGGTCCATCAATATATCAACATCAACATGGTCAAAATAAAATGAAACAACAGAAACAGCAAAACCCTCCCCCTCTTCCTCCAGCATCCATCCATTCAGTTACCACCCTAGCTAAGCACCCATTAGCTCTTGCCTCAGTTACCCTAACAACCTTCTAGCTGGTCCCTACTTCTATTCTGCCAAATTCCTGCTCCTCCAGTTCTATTCTCCACAAGTAGTTCTCGTGATTCTCTTAAATTCAAACAGGCTATGTAACTTCTCTACTCAAATTTTCCAGTGGTTCCTCATCAACTGGAATAAAACCCAGTATCTTTCCATAGCCTATAAAGTTGTGACCTAGGTCCTCCCTATCTGTCCAACCTTATCTCTTACCAAGACCCCATCACTCACTCTTTTCCAGCTAAAACAGACTATCTTATGAATATATAAATAAAATGGTGCCTTGCTCTGCTTCATATACCCGTCAAACTAATTTCTACCTCAGCATCTCTATATTTGTTCTTCCCTCTGCCTGAAACATTGTCTCTGCAGAGATCTGTATAGCATGATTCTCATTTCATTTAAGTCTCTGCTCAAATACTACCCTCTATTTTTTATGTCAATTTATTTTTCTTCATAGTACTTAGTACAGTCATCCTTCTGCACCTGTGAGGATTGGCTTCAGGACCCCCAACCCCCAGACAGCAAAATACATGGATGCTCAAGTACATGATATAAAATGGTGGAATATTTGCATATAACCTATGCACATCCTCCTGTATATTTTAAATTATCTCTAGATTACTTATAATTACTTATAATATCTAATACAATGTAAATGTTATGTAAATGGTTGTTATACTGTTGTATTGTTTAGGAATAATGACAAAAGAAAAAAGGTCTGTACATGTTCAGTACAGACACAGCCATCCTTTTTTTCCAAACATGTTCAATCCCTGGTTGGTTGCATCCATGGATGCGAAAGCCACAGACATAGAAGGCTGACTGTACTACTTTACATTCTATTACATATTTATTTATTATCAGACATCTTAACTAGAATGTAAGTTCTATGAAAGCATGGATTTTTTACAATTCACTTTTGTATCCTCAGAACCTAGAAGAGTGCCTGACCCACAATAGATACTTAGTAAGTATTTGTTGAAGAAATGAGTAAACAAATGAGCAAATATAAAGTCTGTCTATGAATTTGGCTTAATGATCCTAGCTTAATACATAATCCAAGAGGAAAAAACTGTTTTTGAGCATTACTCACTTTTCGTTGTTTTACAGAGTCCAATTTTATGAGCCAATATGAAGCCACTTTGGTTTTATGATACTTCCAGTTATCGATGATCTGTTTGGAAGGATGAACATTAAGAAATTTACAGGTTGAAACCCATTTTTTAAATTAATTTGTGTAATGAAAGCACTACAATATTACTTGCAACAAATAATGCCAACTTTCGTAAAAAGACATGTGCAAAGATTTCTAACACAAATTAAGTCATCTACGTCCAAAGCTTTCTATTCTAGTTGCATTAAGAATACAATCTCTGTGGCTCACACCTGTAATCCCAGCACTTTGGGAGGCCGAGACAGGCAGATCACTTGAGGCCAGGAGGTCAAGACCAGCCTGGCCAATGTGGCAAAACCCCATCTCTACTAAAGTATAAAAATTAGCTGAGCATGGTGGTGCATGCCTGTAATCCCAGCTATTTGAGTGGCTGAGGCACAAGAATCACTTGAATCCAGGAGGTGGAGGTTGCAGTGAATTGACATTATACTACTGCACTCCAGCCTGGGCAACAGAGTGAGACTCTGTCTCAAAAACAAAAAACAATCTCCAATGAATAAAAGTCAAATACCTTCAGAAACATAAGATTTGGCAAGAAATCCAAGACACAGATTTTTCATTTGTATGTTAGAGGCTGATTTATGACATCATTCATAGTAATAAAATATTGAATAATGCATTACAAGGCAGCCTATATAAAATGAGAATTCTACTACTTTGTTTTGTTTTTTGTGCAAGTCTGCAAAACTTCTGAATATATAGTCTTGTAATATATACTGTAATAAACAGATTAAAATGTTCACACATAGTGAACATATAGTAAACAATTTGATGTCTGATATAATTATTAATTATATTTTATTAATTATATAAGCCTATATACATTCTTTATAGAACAATCACGATAGTCACAAATATTAGTTTTACTCTCTGTTTAATTTTCTTCTACCTGATTAAAAAAGATGGGATATAACTAATATCTCTAAGAAATACATAAAATAAAGTGCTACAAAGTCATTGGCTATATGTAGAAAATAACTTTATCAAATAAGATGACATAGGTAAATAAAAGCACACCTAGCATAATCCTTAACATCCAATGCTTTCTTTCATTTCCTTTGATGTAACTAAGTAGCACCTAGCTTGCAAACAAGTTACCATTTTCACTTTTTAAAAATATATATCAACAAAATATTAATTAGGGGCTTTGCTTATGACTGTGTCATCAGTACATAATATAAATTGCAATTATGGGTATTTTTCAGCAAGAAAGTCTCTTTTACTGTTGTTTGTTTGCTTTTTGTTTCTATACACTTATTTTAGACGGGTCTAAAGTAAATGCTAAAAAACGAAAAGTCCAAGTGCATGGCTGTAGTTTTTATCCTATAACTGGCCACTAGATGGTGCCTTCTCCTCTGGGAAAAAAATACATACATTTTATGTATATAATTTATAAAATTATATTTATAAAAAAGGTCCAAAATATATTTTTAATATATTTATAAAATATATGTGCCCCCACCAAAAAAACAAGGTTTTACTACTAAATAATTATCCAAGAATGAAAAGGATGTTTGAATGAAAAAATGTAACCTTGCGTGAAGAAATGCTCTTTCACCAAAATTATCTGAAATAACGTGGACCCTCTTTCTAAATTAGGAGTAAGTCACTGATTTTAATGTGAATTTTAGGGCCCTCTGGCATTTTAGAATGTTCCACTGGGTGGTGCACATGTGTGTGTAACAAGAAAAACACACAGCTCCGCATAAGTCATTTCAAAATTCTGACCCCAAAAATGTGACATTCGAGGTGTCACATTCAAATATTCTTGACATTTTATGCCACAGCCCCACATTTTTCATCATACCCCATTCCATATTAGTTCTTTCTAAATCTTTATAGAGGCAAGTTTAACATGATATTTGCTTAATCATTAAGAACAATAATTATTTAACACTAATTATTCTCACTTGATGAAGACTTATTAAAATAGCACTATATACTAAAAGATATTTTGCACTGCTGATTATAATCTGATCTCACTGTTCATGAATTCTAACAATTAAAATAAACCCCTGTATTTTCTAAAGCTAGTAGAGGTTGAAAAGACATCAATTAAATTTACTATGTCATTGAGCATAATGCCTTCAGGAAATAAATTTTAATATTTTTTAAAAAATAAAAAGGTACCAGCTCCTTGGCATTTTAGACACATCAGATACTCACATCTTCTATCAGAAGTTCTGATTCTGCATCTGACTTTCCTGGAAACCGGATCTTCATGTCCTTGAGAACAAATAAGGTCTGACTTGTTAGATCATCTTCTTGTTCTTTTGTTTTCAGTTGCCGCAAAGACTCACTCTTAAATTTGAAAGAATACAGATATTTGGAGGGGGTCTTATTTCATTGTGCCAGTATAATCTGAAAGATATTTCTAGGTAAAAATGATGCACTTTTAACTGAAAACAATAACAATGAAAAAGGAAGAAAATTTTCTTTTACACTTGTGAATTCTTTGGATTAAATGGATACGAATCCCAAGAGTGTCTTTCATACTTCCACAAGGTTATACTTATTTAGCTAAAAGTACTAAAATAAAAATATAAATACTTAAAAAGGACTTCCTGGTCAGTTTCATTTGCTACATATACCTTAGGCAATTTTTCTTGATTAGAAAAAAAAATTCATTGTTACCAAGTGAAATTCATTCACTTGTATTTCCTGACTTCCCTTTGGAAACACGATCCATATTAAATAAACAAATTAAATAAATCCTTAGTCTACATGAAGGTAGTTGGAGCTATCTGAGCATCTAAAAGTAGCCTTCTTACAAACTAAATTCACTATTTTCTCAATACCAAATCTCTGGGATTTGTGCTAACAAGGGAATACTCAATGTTAATTTAACATACAGAACACATTATAAATAACATTGTACTTAAGTGCTCCAAGGATAATTTATCATTTTTTAACCTATGAATCAACTGTCCCATTAAGTAAAATTTTCCAAACTTCCTCAAATTTAAAGAGAGACTGCATAATACACTGCAAAACCATGCATTTACTCAGGTAATTTTCAGTAACATTATCCTACTACATTAGCAAACAGAAAATAAAATAATGCTATTCTCAGTGTTCATCTTTGAGTTCTGTGATAGAGTGAAGTCTGCACCTTTTAAGAGTCATACTAAATTGTAGGCTAAGGTAGGTGAATAATCCAAATTTCAAGAGGTCATGAGTTGAATTATGGAAAGGATCTAAGGTTCAGTCTGTCCTCCTCTCATCTGATCCCCTTTGCCTGAGTACAGAGCTCCCTATAAACTTGAAAGAGCAAAACAGATGACCTACCACTTGAGAGTTTGTAGAGCAGGCATCATTACTGTGAGGCAGATGCCTCATGTAGGAGGAGGCACGGTTTAAGGAATGTGACCGAGACGCAGAAGTTGGCCGTGACACAGATATCACTTGTTGAGCAGAAAACGGACGGGTGTCCCCACTGGAAGGCGACTGAGCAGAGATGGACCGAGGGCAGCTGACTGAACGCCTTATGGAGCCTATCAGTGATGGAGAAGAGGGATACTACAGTAGCAGTATTAATACAAGTTTTTTACTATATTAAGTCTATATAAACTAAAGATTATAGCAGCTAGTAGTGAAGTGGCAATAAATGTCAAAGCATAGGCATCATCATGGGAATATGAGTTTGGAATACATTTTTCAACAACAGTGAACTTGTTGCAGAAGAACCCCTCTGATGTATAAAAAATGGCTCTTTTGGGAATAATACTATCAACAATCCTTCAACATTATATCCTCAAAACATGAGATAAAAGAACCAGAAGAAAGGAAAATTAACATTTATGGAGCATCTTCTATAAGCCAGGCATTGTGCTAAGTGCTACACTTTTATCTTAGTCCTCATGGAAACCCTCTGAAGTAGGGCTCTCCATTGCTCAGAGGCTTAGAGAAAGAACTTTTTCAAGGTTATACAGCAATAAAGTGGTCAAGATTGGGTTTCAATCCTGACCCTATCTAATTCCAGTGTCTTCCCTGTTTCTGTAATTCCATGATGCTATCCACTATCCCTTGGGATTTGACTGGCCACTTATAAGAATCTGTGTATATGTTAGAATATTTTACAGCAAGATTCATAGGGAGGGCTGGAAAGGAGTATAGAAAGTGGACAGGCTAAATAGGTTAAGTTACAGAATTTAGAACCCATGACGGAAAAAAACAGTAATAAAACAAAATTCAGATTATCCTAATGGAATTTAAATATAGAATTGGTTATTATAAAGAGTAGTACTGAACAGAGAGCATTCTAATTTACAAGAGTAAATAATTTTTTAAAGTAGGTTAAATTCCAATAGAAAAAGACTTAAGTGAAGAAAAAAATATATGGATCTATAGGTTTGTTATCAGAAAAAATATCTAAGAGAAACCATAAAATATCTTCCCCAATGCATATTAGGAACATCTAATAAAGAAAACCAACTGTTCCAGATAAATTTTGACTCCTGACACAGGGCAATAGATCATCACTCAATACTATCAATATTTTCATTGTTTTTCAGTTCCTATGGTCTATATATCCTCTGTTCTGTATTCTTTCTCTGCTTGGGGAATATATCTTCATTAATTAAATAATTTAGTAAAATTCACATGAAACCAGGTTGAATACCCAAATATTTCTCTTCATTAGCTGTTGAAAAAAAAACTAAACCTTCATAAAAGGAATCGACATAAGCCTTATATTTAGGGATATACTTCTAAATTAAATTTTGGAGAAGTATACTTATTAAAGCTATAAAAGATTTTTTTTTTAATTCTCTTTGTTCCAAAGATTAACTTCCTTCTGAACCTGAAAACTGTCACCGCTTTTCAAAATGACACTGCCTCTATATTTCTAGAGAAGGGCAGAAGGGCTATGTGAGGAACATACCACCAGTCAACCTTTTTTTTTTTTAACAAAGAACTGCACATATTTAATGTGCACCAAGAGCAAACTTATACTAAGAAAATAGCTAAGGCATGTGCTAGTAACTGTACTGTAGTCCTACTCCCTTTGAGGGGTTATGGTAATGGTTTGGTTGTATACAACCTGATCACTGGGCAGAAAGAAAATATCCTTTGTCTTGAATCATCACAGATTCCTTTTTTTTTTCTTTTGCCTACACATGCTAGAAATTCAGACAGAATAACTAAGTAGCTAGACATGCCAATGATGTTTGGGTAGATTCACAAAAAAATCATTGTAACTTGCATATCCCTTTGAAGCTGAAATAAGTTAGAATTTTTCAAACTATATATAAGAGAAAGTGTTACATATAATCTGGATTGTGTCCTTGATCATCAGCATCACTCTGAAGACAAAACTCAAGTAGGATTTGTGGCTGAAATGTTCCTTGGTGTAAGATTAAAGAGAGAAGATAACACAAAGTAAAAGGCTTGTTACAATTCCTCATGAATATAAAAATAAAACATAACTAATAAAAAAGACATGTAACTAAATTAGGCTAGATTTCAAATGAAAGTTCACACTTAAAAACATTTTTAAAATCTGTATATTTTAGTGCACTATTGTCTGATCTCAATTTGTTAACCTATTGGTCTGAGAACAAAGAACAATCTCAGAGCTATAAGAATGTTAGCAAGTTTTTCTCCAACCTGTCCTCATCTCCCATCAGTTCATGCCATTACGGAGGTACACATCAGCTAACAGGAAAGGGAATTAAAAACTGGCCAAATTTAGGCATAAAAACGTCAGCTTCTGAAACCAACACAGAGCCATAGTTACACAAAGACACACTGAAAGTATTTAAGGAATCCTTAAGAAAAAAGGAAGCAAATATTAATAGCTTACAAACTGTATAACAGGTGCTCAATAAACATTTCTTAAATGAATGAGTAAATAAATAAATGAAATGGAACACAATACATTAATTCCCCTCCAAAGACATAAACCCTGAAAGATATGAAGTAGTAGCATGTTTCTTTAGAGAATAACATATACACAAAGACCATTCCTGTAAAAGCTTCATCTATTGGTTCTGTATTCCTCATGCATTTTGCCATAAGTGTTTAAGGCCAGTTTTAACATATCCACATTATCAGGGAAGTTAACATATTAAATACATTGCTGAGGGTAAAAAGGGCTCACAATTGTGTTCACCGCATTATTGAGCTGGTTCCTTCAGTGGAACCCTAGGACAGTGGAGCACAAGGCAAACAGAGATATGACAGACAAGGGTTCAGAAAAGTCCTGGACTAGAGGCAGCATCAGGAAGGGGTTTTCCAACTGAATCTAGGCAAACAGCAATCCCACACTGGACATTTGGGGATGAAAGAAAAATCACAGACACAATATTGCACATTTGGAATTGAAGAATAAATGAAAGAAGAGACAAAGGAAGAGAAAGAGAATGTAAAAAGAAATACAGATAGAGAGAAAAGGAAGCAGAAAAGGAAGGAGATGGAGCAGTGGTTGGCTGCTCTCCCAAGTAGTTCCTATGCATCATAAGCCCTGACTTAAGTACTCACCGGTGACGAAAACGGGAGGGAACAAAACTTCAACTATTTCACAATTAAGTAACTTACAGATACATTCAAGTCAAATGCCTAAGGAGATACGTACTTTTAAAAATATATATAATAAGTGATAGCATAAAACAAAGTGGGTGAAAGGAGTAGAGGGGCAGAAATTGAATGAGAAGAGAATATATTGGCTTAAGAGACACGTAATCATCAGATCAGCCATGAGGCACATTTTACAAAACCCAAGCAAAAATCTGGCACCTAAAAAAAATGATGAAATACAGAAGAACAGATCCTTAATCCAGCCCTTTCATTTTCTATTTGCAGATCTTGAAAAGGATTAAGGGATGTGCCCGAGTCTGGTTAGGGAAGGAAGGGGGATGGAATCCAGGTCTTCTCACACACAACAGGGTTCATTTGGCCCAAGGACCTTTTATTGAGTTTAATAATTTCAGTTCCATAATTCTTTATACAACATCTAAATTAGAAGAAATTAACTTACTGGGTTGTTGAATAAATTTGTAGTGGTTGGAGGGTTTAAGATTATATGTAACTTGCTTTTCTCTTTTCTTATTTTGGTACTCTTCTTTTTCATTTTCATCAGATTCTGAAGAGCTGCTGCTACTATCATAACTGCTGTCACTGCTGTAGTACTTCGGTCTTTTCATTATCTCAGTACTCTCAGGCATAGAACACAGAGGCTAAAAAGACGGAAATGTGTTATTTTGTTAGAATTCTTAAAAAAGGTTTACTGATATGATTAGTTACTATTTTAAATTTCCCCCTATGCTTGCTGCTTTTTACTGAAGGTTGAGAATCCCCCCAAATACTATTGCTGCCATGCTGCTTAGCCTACAGTGCTATCTATTGATTATTGTTTCTGCAAAATATTCTTTCTTAAATGATATAATCATGATGAGGAATATGTTATTCCACATGACTGGATTAAAGGGCCAGAGTATCTATAAACAAAGAATAACAAAATAAAGGGAAAATATTTGAGATAAAATTATAAAAATCAGAAATAAAATCAGCTTTTCTTCATTCCATAAGAGATTACTCATCAAGACTCAGAGATATACCTTTGTCATATCATTAACATTCAGAGTTACTCTATAAATGTGTATGCATGTGCACACCCAAGTGCATCTGTGTATGTGTGTGGTGTGTGTCTGTGTGTGTGTGAGGGGGTAGGAGGAGAAAGAGGGGCAAGAAGGATAAAGAGAATAAGAATACTAAACCATTTTCTGTGAGCCTATCCACTCAGATAATGTGCAGCAAGAAGTTAGGTATCCCTCACATAACTGACTGGCTGTGGATATTTATAAAAATAGAATTTTTAGTTAACTGTCCACCTTCCAAACTGCTCAAGAACAACTGATGTCTTTTCTCAGAGTGTTCCTAACTCTGGCACATAGCTTCTGGCCATAATAGAGTGACATAATTTTTCATTGCCCATGCTACATTTTAAAAATTAATAATATAATATGAAGATCAGTAGGGGTAAACTTCCACGGGGGAAGGATAAATTCCTCTAATATAGAAGGGAAAATCTGTAAAGACTGAAAATGCCATGCTATTATGTGTCACTATCCCTATTAGAATCACTCGTTTCTAGTCCTCCCAATCAATGTGTTTCCAATGATGCCAGCTGCAGGAATGGAAGGAAAGGGACATGGGACAGTTTCACATCAGAAAGAATGTGCATAACCAAGAACAAGACAATTTCATAACTCAGTCATTCTAAGAGACTATTTATTACACACACCATATGCCTCCTATTCCTGATGGGAGAGGCTCCTTCAGCTGTATACTAGTTGCTTGCTCTCTGTTAATCAAACAAAAATGTTTTGATGTTAGCATACACTATAATGAAATCCTTGGATAGCATGGGATTTCACTGAAAGAAGGTATACCCTCTAGTGTAACAGTGTAGAATAAAAATAGAGAAACAGCATTTCATGAAGTGCCTGGAATACAGAGTGAGCCAAAATGCATGATCTTCTTAAATTTACAGCCTTTGCAAAGGATGAAAAATAACCAAAGCAGGAAAGTAGTTTAATTCACTAAGGCACCAACTTGCGTTTAAAAGTATGTGCTCTTTCTGATGGTCTAATATTTACTAAGTACTGACAATGTTCAAAGAGATATGCATAAAAACATTTAACAGTAACACAATCATCAAACATTTTGACAATCTTGGGGAATATGAATTCTAGAGGAAGGTTGTTTCCTCAGAAGTTTAGCATACCCAGAAGAAACAGTGGCACAATCAGGCTTGCTAGTGGTGCCTTCCTTCATGTAGCAAACAGCTTTAAGTGTTCTTAAAGAGCTTGACTACATAATGAGTTATTCGACCCTATAAAGAATCACAAGGGGAAACGTACAGCTGAGCCTTTGTGTCTTATATGCACTTGGGACTTTTTGACCAAAACACTGTTCAAGCACTAATTAACTAGCAGTCACAGCAACATAAACTCTAAATAGTGTCTTAACTACAAAATGGAATTTGTAAACTGGCATTGAGTTACAGCACAACCATAGTACTTATTTTTTATGTCCAATTTTATTATGAAGTAGGCCATCTATAAAAAATATAAAAATGTATAAAGAATAAACACCCACATGCCTATCACCCAGCTTAATAAAAAGAACATTGCTAATATTCTACTGCAATTACTTTTGCACCAACCTAACACTTTATGTGATATTATTCATGTAGCTAATGTTTCTTAGATTCTCAAGTAAGTGAAAAGTTATTATTTTTCCTACTACAAGTACCAGTTTTATTTAACTTTGATTATCTCCAATTATACTTCTACCAGTAAAGACACCGGAAATCAATGTTTTGTGTGTTATATCATCCCTCTAAAAAGGAACAGCTGCTTTGAAGTTTGGTTCACTTTGGACCCTTGGTAAACAACATAAAATTAAAAGTTATAAAAATGCTTCTACTTCAGACTGATTATCCAGACTTCAACAACTTTGAAATATAGCTGGCTTTAACAACTACAGGAAATATCTAGTTCATTTCAACAAACACATTGTTAGTTCCCACTACTTGCCTAGAATGAAAGGGACTGAACAAATCAGACAAAGTGAATTCTTCCTCCCAAGAGGTTATATTTTTGTTTGGATGACAAGCCTTATATAAATGAAACACAGGAAAATATAAGACAATATAAAGCTGTCTCAAGGCTTCTGCATTTGCCATTCTGCCAGAAACATTGTGCCTCCAGGATATCCCATGTCTGTTTTGCTGAATAGCAATAATTAATATACAAAGCTTAGCAATTTCCCAGTGTTTCCCAAAGTAATGCCATGACTCATGCAAGTATTTACTTTTACAGATACTCTAAAATATACTTCTTCCAAAAGGGGTATCAATGACATATTCTACAATGCCTCAATATGGAGCACATAATTTGGAACAGTCTCTGACATCCAAGATCTCCACCAGCTAATCTCTTATCTCTTAAACAGGCTCACCCATATCATTTCACTATCCAAGAACCTTCCACTTGAGTCATACCAAACTTTTCATGTTTCTACAACATCCTATACAGTATCATAACTCCATAGCTTTGCCTTTAATGTCCTATATACCCTAAATGTTCTTCCACCTCTTTTTTTGTGTGTGAGACAGAGTCTCGCTCTGTCGCCAGGCCACAGGGCAGTGGCACGATCTCAGATCACTGCAACCTCCACCTCCTGGGTTCAAGCGATTCTCCCGCACACGCCACCACGCCCAGCTGATTTTTGTATTTTTAGCAGAGATGGGGTTTCACCATGTTGGCCAGAATTGTCTCAATCTCTTGACCTCGTGATCCGCCCACCTTGGCCTCCCAAAGTACTGGGATTACAGGCATGAGCCACCGTGACCTGCCTCTTCCACCTCTCTTAATGCTTAGAGTACTACTAATTTTTCAAGATCCAGTTCTAACAGCACTACCTTTCTGAAGCCGTCCACATGCTACCAATCCCTTTCTTCTCTATGCTGCTGTAGTACTTTACACTCCCTTTATTATAGTACTTCCCACATTACTCCCTGATTTTTTAATTACCTGTCTGCTCTTCTACTAGCCAATGAGGTTCTTATGGATATATTTAACAAACTGAACTAATGGATTCTGAGAACCTACTGTGTGTCGGACACTGGCTAGGTTCTAGAGATGCAAAGATGAAAATCTACTTGCTGCCCTCAAGGAACGTGCAGCCTCGTACTGAGGTAAACATGCAAATAATTACTTGTCACAACTGCTCCACAAAAGTGTTATTTATGGAACAGCAGGAGAAAGAGAGAAGGTAAGGTCTAAGCTTAACTGGGGAAATGAGGGAAGGTTTCACACAAGCAACAGTGGTTCAGCTGAAATAGGAAGGAGACTCTAATCAAACAACAAGTCAATGACTTTTTTTTTTAGTAGGAAGACATTTCAGAAGCATGGAAAATCATGAAAATATGACAGAAGACGAAGCGTCTAAGGACAAAGAGATAGCACAGTAATTCTGAAATATAAATGGAATGGAATGAAAAAAAATCCAAGATTTTTCTAATTCAACTCTTTCCTACTCTACTAACAAGAACTTTGACATATATTAGAAGAACAGTACTGGACGCAGTGGCTCATGCCTATAACCCCAGCACTTTGGTAGGCCAAGGCAGGAGGACTGCCTGAAACCAGGGGTTCAAGACCCGCCTTGGCAACACAGCGAGACACCATCTCCTTAAAAAAAAAAAAAAAGATGAAGAAGAAGAAGAAGAAATTTTTTTAAATTAGCCAGGCATAGTAGCATGTGCCTGTTGTCCCAGCTACTCAGGAAGCTGAGGCAAGAGGATCACTTGAGCCCAGGAGTGTGAGGCTACAGTGAGGTATGAACACACCACTGGACTTTAACCTGGGTGAGAGTGAGATTCTGTATCAAAAAAAAAGGGAGAACATGTAGATGTCATCTACATGACAGTTTTCTACTTATTTCTAGGAATTACACCTATTTTAACTAAAACAAAATCAGTGTTGCTAGGTCAGCAAAAGATGGGGCTCCTAATTAGGGTCTCTAGATTTCATGATTTGCCTTATTTATAATGCTACCCATTTATCTGATAATTATCTGTCTAGAGGTATGAGGCAAACTTAATATTTAGTTTAGAATAAGAGTACAAGCTCTGGGTCCCTTTTGGCCCTGACTCATGGTATTTTCACTGACATCAGGAAAATAACCAAAATGACAAATGAAACTAATAAAACAAAACAAAACTTCTGAGTGTAAGATACCATCATCTTCCAAACTCTACCTGCACTGGGCACACAGTGTATGGTTCCTTTAAAGCAGCACGGGTCATTCTTATAGTGAGAAGCATCAAGGGCTAGTAGCATCTACTTTGATAACTAAGGAAGGTAGAGATATACTGCACCTTTGGTCCTCGAGTCTTGGTAGTTTTTCCCATCAACTTTTCATCATCAATTTCACATTGTTCCAGAAGATCCAAAATATCTTCCTCCTTCAAAAAATATTCTAATTAAAATTACAATCACTAATGGACTCTAGAATTTTTCCAAGTTGATTAATCTCCACAAAATAATGCAGAGCAAGGATTCCCAAAATTATTTAGTGAAGACAGCTCAGAGCAAAGGAGAAATATTAAAGGGTCGTGGCAAATTCTCTTGAAACTTTCACTAAAATCTGGCATTATAATTAATATATAGCCAAAATCTATTCTGTATTAATTATCATAAACAAATGTACCTTTATAGTACAGTACAGTATTAAAATCTTAGAGTATAATACTTCAATAACTAGTTCATTGGACACTAAAATTTCTGGAAAGTTCAAGCTAATTTCCAGATTTCAAGTTTATGAATCATTTCTATACAGATTAGTGTAAAATAATATTAAACCTCCAGACAGAAAACTGATAATTGGACTAATAGTTTCACTTAGAAACATTCTAACGTGAGTATTTGCTGACTGGGCACTATTTAATGAAAACCTTTCAAAATTTCAATGATTGCACAAACGTATTTTTAGAATTTTATAAAAGTTTTAATTCTATAGTCATCAAAGGTGGCAAAAAGTCACAAGTGCCCTAACACCTTTCTTGTGTTCTTCTAGAGTCATATTCCGAATCAAAAGGAAATTTTATAAAAGCATATACCCCGGTGGATATTAGGCAAGTCAGAACAATACAACTATAATAGGTACACTGAAAGAGGTATAATCAACTGTATCATTGAGTTATTTAAGAAAGGATGCTAGAAAAGGTTTTTGAAGAAACTGGAAATCTCACTGTACAGTAGAAATGTGTAAAATAAGTTACTCTTTGCCCCAATCTAAGGAAATTTAGCTATTGAAATCCCAAAATACTCTTCTTATACATTTTTTATTAAATAATAATCTTACAATGAATTCCATGGATAGCAGTACAATATAGCCAAAAAGAAACTCAAGGAGTTCTGCTTCTGTTTAGGAAAAATATAACAGATGATACATTCATCATAACAGCCAGAAAAGGCCAGATAAACTAAACAATCATATTTTCTAAAACACCAGAAAGCTGTAGGTAAAAAGTAATGTAAAGAAACTAAATTCCAAAGAGAGACAAGCTCTTCCTATGTGAGCAGAGATGAGTGGCCATTTTCTTCTTTGGGGTCATCTGTCATGTCTGGACATATGTAGGCAGAGATGAGGTCCAAACTAGAGAGCTTCTACTAGGATAAAAAGAATCTTCTTGAAATGCTCCCTTTTAGAATCCTGAGCTACTATATTGAGAGATCTGACTACCCTGCTGAGAGACTGTGTAGGGAGGAAGAGATACCAGCCAGCTCCCAGATGTTCCAGCTATCTTATCTGACACACCAGGCATATGAGTGAAGCTACCCTGGATTTCTAGCCCCAGTTGGGCATTCAGATATATGCTACTATATGATTCACCCAAGGAAAGACAAGCAGAAGAACCACTCAACTGTGCCCAGCCAAGATTGCAGAGTAATGAGCAAATAAATGAAGTGGTCTGTCATGCTACAATAGAAAACTGATGGACCTTTTACTAAGGTGTACAGATTAGTGTGTGTGTGTGTTTCATTTACTTCCTCTCATATGCCAGATCTATGTAGTATCAAGAAAAAGTACTATATAATGTTTGTTATAATCCCAAAAATAAGAATGCTACAAACCACTAGGTTAATTCCATGGGTTTCTTTATCCAGTTACAGATACACATCTATGTAATAAGATACATTTTTATAATATATTGATATTACTACATAATATCACAATTCTCTACTCTACAATTTGTCTTGGTAGATATCTTATTTATGAAGTAAGTTGGTTCATCATGAAATGTTACCAACTGTTAAAATAAAAAGCTTGGGGAAAGCATATCTTAAAAGTAAGATATTTTTATATGTTGGACCAAGGTGGCTTGTCTGTAAAGACATATTGTTTAGCTTTATTCTTTTTTCTCTATATAAACATTCATTCTCTTACCTTCATCCTTTTCAAAGGATTATTCAACTCTCGCTGGAATGAAGCTGCTCTTCCTGAAAGGAAGGTCTGAAAGGCAACAGCTAACAAATTTTCATACTTTTCAAGTAGTGCTTTATCTTCAGGAGGATAAATTCGTCTACAACAAAATTAGATAGACCAAATTTTTAAAAAGAAGCTGTCACAGCTCAATAGTTAACATCAACTCCACAGATAATCCTTGACCACCTATTCTATACTAGTCATATTGCCAGGTATAAGCATTTCTATACTGATTAGTACAAAATAATATTAAATATTAAACCTCCAGATAGAAAACTGATAATTGGCCTAATAGATTAACTCAGTAACTTTCTAATGTAACTATTTGCTCACTGGCCACTAATTAACGAAATTCTTTCAAAACTTTAATGATTGCACAAGAGTATTTTTACAACTTTATGAAGGTTTTCAGTCTATAGTGATTGATAGTGGCACAAATCCACAAATAAAGTTTATCTAGAGAATTAGCATTAAACAATGCAGTTCCAGAAGGCACAGTATAAGGGTTTAGTTAGGGCGAAATGGTTGGAGAAGAATGGTGATTGGGCAAATTGCAGAAATATTGAACTTTGTAGGAGAGTGTTCAGTTAATAAGGAATACTACAGGAGTTTTTTACTTAGTGTGGTTACCGAAGTATACAAAAATGTAGGCAGTGGTTTTGATTATCTCTTTTGTAGTGATGGAATTTGCCTCTCTAGTAAAGTGGGTAGAGGTGGAGTGGGAGGAATGTGTTCTCATCACTACTGTTGATGGTGTTAAGGCCATGAAAGAACATCTTACCATGAGTGCAAGAATGCCCTTACACATTCCTTTATCCTGCTCAGGCAATGTCAAAAGTTGGAAAGTGGGCAGTCTTTCCAAGAACACAATGAGCTGGGTGGGGTGGGGAGGTTTGCTTCTGTCAAGGGTGATATTGTGGAACGGTTCCAGTTTAACACAGCCCACATCTCTCTCCACTGTCCCATACCTAACTCCTTCAAACATTTTCATTATTTGCTTGGTTCCTGAAAAAGTACAGTAACCACTATAGATTGGCAGGAAGAATACCAAGAGACCTGAATTCTGACATTTTTTAAACACCACATTATAACTAAATACAGTCACAGGATAACGGCGGGTTAAAAGGACCTCCTACAACCACCCAGAGGCTGGCTAGCAGGAGCATTGTCAAGGCTGAACCATCTCCTTGCTGACTACCTTTCTTTCTTGAAAGACAGTAAGCAAAAGTACTTGCTTGGAATCAAAGAAAAATGCTTAAAATAAGCACACAAGATTAAAACATGAAGGATCATTGCTTTGATACTTCATTTTTTCAATCTATACAAAAATACCAGCACAGTTACCTATAATTTCCCATATGTCGATTTTCATGTTCTTCTCGTGAGATCTGCTTTCGTACTTGAGCGAGTCTCTCTTTCTGGAAATGAGAAAAATTTTACAAATAAAACCTGACAAGTGAATTATGCAATTTAAATTGTGGGTACTTTCTTAAAACTTTCATACCAACTCTTCTTTCCGCCTCTCCAACTGGTGTCTCTGCTGTTCCCAGTCTGAGGAGCCTGGTAAGAGCCTTTTAATTGAATTTTGACCATAGAGCCTCCTTTGAGCCTCAGCTTTTTGTTTGGCCAAGTTTCTTCTTTTGTCACTGGTCCTAAAATATAAAACATAAGACCAAATTCTAGAATTCGAACAAGTTCTGATCTTATCCCGGTGAGGAGAATGTGCAACAGGAGACATAGTGAAGCTCAGAATCAATGTTTATTAAACTTATATATTCACTTACATTATATTCATCTAACCATACCTCAAATATGGCACTCTGGCAATAGATATGGTAAATAGAAATTCTGAAGACACAGAGACAAAATGGAAACAGTGTATGTTTTAGAGGATCCGAGAGACCTAGTTTCACATTTTGCCCCAACAATTTACCACTATACAATCTTGGGCTGGTCAATTAACTGCCTACTTTGGAGATAGTTTCCCCGTCTAAAATGTCAGCAATACTGTTTCCTCCTTGAGTTCTTATAAGATTAATTTGTGGTATCATTAATAGGTACTTAATAAGAAATGGTTCTCTTCTCCTTCTTCAACCCAATTCCATTTATACTGACCATTCTTTAATACATTTTCATTTCTGACCAAAATCCCAGCCTAACAATCATCATTTATTTGAAAACATCTGCATAGTCCTTTCCATTCTTTACTCAATTATGAAAATTCACTTCTAACTCTCTGATTTTCAAGGAAAAGTCCTGTTTTGGGATTATTTTCCTCTAAACCACTTTCTCTCTCTTCCCTGCCAAGTAGCTGGTAAAATAACACAAACCTGAGGATTTTTTTCTCCAACCCCTCCAACTTAAACTCTACCATACCATCATTGAAAGACCTAGCAGAAACAGGGTTACTCCAAGAAAAAAGGAAAAGCAAGGCCAATTCGGCCCTCGCCTTTGGGGGAAACAAAAAAACAAACAAAAACAAAAAACAAAAATAAAACAGAGAGTTCTATCCTTAAGGTTACATTTCCATGCTTCTATTGTCATTAGGCTGGTAGGGCCCAGATAAGAGTGTAAACCAAAGGAAAGGGAACAAGAAGGCCATTTGGCTAGCTTCTAGTGCAGAGGTAAGAGAAGTGCTTACATTTACATATTGCCTCATTTAATTCATCAGGAGATTGCATTAAGAATACGGGTCCAGGTCAGGCGTGGTGGCTCACACCTGTAATTCCAGCACTTTGGGAGGCCGAGGCGGGCAGATCACGAGGTCAGGAGATCAAGACCATCCTGGCTAACACGGTGAAACCCCATCTCTACTAAAAATACAAAAAAATTAGCCGGGCATGGTGGCAGGCGCCTGTAGTCCCAGCTACTCAGGAGGCCGAGGCAGGAGAATGGCATGAACCCAGGAAGCGGAGCCTGCAGTGAGCCAAAATTGCACACTGTACTCCAGCCTGGATGACAAAGTAAGACTCTGTCTCAAAAAAAAAAAAAAAAAAAAGAATATGGGTCCAAGGCCCAAATAATAAAGAGTGTTCTTTTGCCTCAAGTATGTACCATCACAACTTGACCTTGCAGGAATGTTAGGAAACTGATCTATTCTCTTTCATGACTGAGGGAAGAGAGAGATCCTCTCATATTGTTTTATACTCAGAAAAGGAAAGAGAAGTGAAACTAAAGGTGGGTAGCCTGGCACGTAGGAACCAGACCTGAAACCAAGGAATCAGACCCGAAACCAGACCTGGGCCTGCCTGACCTAAGTCTGGTAGTAAAAATTCAACCCCTGACCTAGCAACTGATGTTATCTATAGATTCCAGACATTGTATGGAAAGACACTGTGAAACCTCCTGTTCTGTTTCACTCTGACCATCGGTGCTCACAGCCCCGTCACGTACCTCCTGGCTTGCTCAACTGATCACGACCCTCTCACGCGGACCCCCTTAGAGTTGTGAGCCCTTAAAAGGGACAGAAGTTGAGCACCTGATGAGCTTGGATTTTAACACGTTAGCCTGCAGATGCTCCCAGCTGATTAAAGCCACTCCCTTCACTATCTCGGTGTCTAAGAGGTTTTGTCCACGGCTCCTCCTGCTACAGTTCTTGGTTCCTGACTGGGAAAGCGAGGTGATTAATGGATGGCCGAGGCAGCTCCTTAGGTGGCTTTAGCATGCCATGTGGAACATCCCTGCTGGAGTGACAAGGATCCTGAGAGCACTCCCAATTAGGCATTTGCCCCATGGGACGCCTCGCCAGAGCACTGTGTGGCAGGCCCCCATGAAGGATCAATGCAGTGGCTGAACACCAGGAACTGGCACTTGGAGTCTAGTCATCTAGAACTTGGTAAGATTAGTCTTTGGAACTTGCCCACTCCACTTGAGTGGAAGCATGGCCTGATCACCCACGGTGTGCCTTTATCGGCGCTTTGGTTTTGGTTTTGACTTGGTTTGAATTGCTTGACAGGACTGGTCTTGGGAACTTGCCTACTCCATTTGAGTGGAAGTGTGGCCTGATCTCCCATGGTGTGCCTGTACCGGCACTTTTTTTTTTTTGTTTTTGACTTGACTTGGATTGCTTGATACTTTGGTTTTGGTTTTGAACTGGCTTGGATTTCTGGATACTCTGATATTGGTTTTGATTTTGGTTTGGTGTAAACTGCAAAAGTGTGTGTGTGCCCCCTTTACCTGTTCTTTGTTTTGTGGGGTGCGTGTGGTGTGAGTGTGGTGTTTTGTCTCGAAGAAGCATAGGTCAGGCACAAAGTAAGCCCATCCCACTAGGAACTATGTTGAAAATTTCAAGAAAGGATTTAAGGGAGATTACATTGTTACTATGACACCAAGAAAACTTAGAACTTTGTGTGAAATAGATTGGCCAGCATTAGAGGTGGGCTGGCCATCAGAAGGAACCCTAGACAGGTCCGTTGTTTCAAAAGTATGGCACAAGGTAACCCGTAAGCCAAGGCACCCAGACCAGTTTCTGTACATAGACAGTTACAGCTGGTTTTAGACCCCCTCCCCACCTACAGTAGTTAAGAGAACAGCAGCATAAGTGGCTGGCAGAGGGAAGGAAAGACCAGCAGAGAGAAAGAGAGGAAAGAGATAGAGAGAAAAACAGGCAAAGAGAGAGAGGAAGAGACAGAGAGACAAAGGAGTCAAGAAACGAGAGAGAGACAGAGAAAGAGAGAGGCAGAAAGAGAGGAAGAGACAGAGGCAGAAGGAAAGTCAAAGAGAGAGAGAGAGACAGCAAGTCAAAGAGAGAAAGAGAGAAATATACAAGTAGTTAAGAAAAAAAACAGTATACCCTATTCCTTTAAAAGTCAAGGTAAATTTAAAATGTATAATTAATAATTAAAGGTATTCTCAGTAACCCTATAACACTCTAATACCACTTTGTTGTCAGTGTAAACAAGGGTGTATCCCTAAAGCACTGAGTCCTTCCTATCAAAAATCCTTAATCCAGTAACCTGTGGATGGCCCAGATGCATTCAATCTGTAGCACAGCTGTTTTGCTAACAGAAGAAAAAAAAAGGCCATCTATACCAATTCTAAATTAATTTAGACTAAACAAGGTCTTATTAATAGCAAAGGATAAACTTACAAGGTTTTCAACAAAAGTAAAGTTTGCTAAAAGTTAGCAGTGTAACATGTATTATAGTAATTTCTAATCTTGTGGCCTTAGACAGTCTAGTCCCCAGACATAAAGGAAGTTCACTTTGGAAAAGAATGGTTATCCTAAAAAAAAAAAAAAAAAAATGGAAAAAAGGGGGGAGACAGAATTTAGGTTAAAAGGGTGTTATATGGTAAATTCTTGTCCTGAAATAAATTAACTGGTTGCTTAAAGAAATGTTTGTAATAAGTCAGAAAGTTGAGACATGTCAAAGAATTGTCTACGAAAGTCATGAAAGAAAAAAATGTTATGTAAAAAATGTTATATAATTTAAAAGTAATAAGGCCTCCTGAGTTTATGTGCAAGGTGTATAAGGAAAGAAAAATATACCTTTGGTAAAAGGATTATAAGGAGGCATAAGAATGTGGATTTTTGCCTACATTAAAAGGTTAAAAAAACTATTGTTTTGAAAGTTTAAGCAAGTTTTAAAACGTTGATTGTAAAGAAAATTATGTGCGTAAACATATTAGCTAAAGTTAAAAAGGTATCATCCAGTTTTTCTGTGAACTGGACATAGGTTTTTCTCAAAGCACCAACCTGCTCTTTAACAAAAATTATGAAAGGTTAAAAAGAGTCTATAAAATCTTACGTTATGCTCAAACATGAAAAATTTGATAAATACGTCTACAAGGTTTTATTAAAATTAAGTTTAACATTAATAACACACTAATATAAAGGTAAAATTTAGCTTATCTGGTATAAAAGTCATACAAGAAGCATTATTAAATATAAAATGGTGCTTAGTTCTCTTTGGTCTAAAAACTAATAAAAATAGGTGCTAAAGGAAACATTCATTTTACTAGAGGATCACAGAAGTTAAAGACTTAAAACAAACTTTGGCAATTAAGACAGCATACCAAGATGCAAATGCCTGGTTGGAATGGATCAAATATTCCATCTGCACATTAAACAAAAGCAATTATTATGCTTGTGCACATGGCAGGCCAGAGGCCCAGATTGTCCCCTTTCCACTAAGGTAGTCCTCCAGTCCACCAAGAATGGGCTCTATGGTAGCTCTTTTCCAGGATTCTACAGCCTGGAGTAATAAGTTGTGCCAAGCTCTCTCTGCTATATCCCAAAGTCCAGCACCCTGCAGGTCAGCCCCCGAGGGCCATGCAGCCTCCGTCTCCGAACACTAAGTTCATTTCATGTCTCTCGTGACAGGGAGGAAACTTAGCATTCCTTGGAGACCTGAAGGGATGCAGTGAGCTTAAGAATTTTCAAGAGCTTCTTAATTAGTCAGCCCTTGTTGATCCCCGAGTGGATGTGTGGTGGTATTGTGGTAGACCTTTACTGGGCACTCTGCCGAATAACTAGAGTGGCACTTGTGCTTTAGTCCATTTGGCTATCCCTTTCACCCTGGCATTTCATCAACCAGAGGAAGAAAAAAAGAATAAGACATCATAAAACCAGAGAAACCCCTTATAGGTCTTTCAACTCTCACATCTATTTAAATGCAATTGGAGCCCCACAAGGAATACCAGATCAATTTAA